TTTTTTTTTTTTTTTTTTTTTTTTTTTTTTTTTTCATTTCAAGTCGTTGACCTTTTAGGATGACACCTCGATCTTCTATCCTTTTATGGAATGTAAACAAATTTATCAATAAGTTGTGAGAACGTGTTAGACGAAAGAGCCTTTAACCTTCCTCCTCCAACATCTTGATTCTTGCATTCATCTATAAGATGCAATATTTTTTTAATCAAATTATAGTTTTGTTTTTATAGCAATGCTCGAACTTTTATGTTAAATTTTTATTGTGGATATTATCAAGATAAAACTTTGATTTTACCTGAAGAATATTATAAATAATATTTAAATAATTAAATTTACCAACATAGTGATAAAATATTTGAGTAGTGTAAAATCTTAGAATTAAATCTTATTACTGTCATTGTAATTTATATGGATAAAAATATTAAACTTATCATTACAAAAAAAATAAAAAAAAAGTATTACACTTATATTTTATTCTTAATTATAACATCTGATATCAAGCAATTAAATTATAAAAAAATTCATTATAAAAGAAAGAACTTATTACATTAAAAATATCAAAATATAATAACTGCTTTTTCTTCTAATAAAAATAGTTGATTTTTAATTATTTAAATCAGTCTTAAGTGTTAAAAAGTTAATAAAACCAACTTTTAATGTGCATAAAAGTTAAAAGCATTGTAACTTTGACACATTGTTTGTTCTATTTATTTTTATTTTTTTGTCAAGAGGGTTCAACTTCTCATTTAAATTTTAGCATTTCTTGTTATTATTATATATATATTTTTTTTATAAATCAATCTCTTAATTTCCATCAATTTTAACTCTATCTTAAATGTATTTATGCATTACATTAGTTTATATAAGAATCATACATTTTTAATCCAGAATTATAATAACAATAATACGTTTAAACTTAAAATCGTATACATACTACTTCAATTTTTCACCATCATATAAAAATTATATTCTTTGTATTTCTTCATGAAAACTTATTAAAAAAATAAAAATAAAATAATACTATGAAATTAAGAGCATCAATCAATTTAATTACAAAAATAAAAATATAACTGTGTAGTTCTTGACATTTTTTTTAAAACAATGCATTTTCAATCCCTGAAATTACAAAAATAAAATAACTGACCAAGGTAGTTTTAGGAATTAAATTGACCAATATTTGTTATTTCCTAATAAAATATTTGCAACATATTTAATAGGGGGGAATACAAAAAAATATGAGTGAAATTTTACGTGTGTACGATGAACAAATCTACATCTTATGTAGTATAAAGATTTGAATTAAAAATGATTTAAATAAAATTAATTTACTATTCGTATAAAATTGAATACATGAAACTTATTACTCTCTAAAGAAAATATAGAAGTTGATAAACTCCATATAAGTGTAACAGTTTATAGATTATATGATACTACTATTAAAATTAATTAAGATAATATTAACTTAACCATCTACCTAAAATAAAATGGTTAAAATTAGTTCTTATATCTTAGGGATGCATTTTAGAGATATTATTATTACTGTTATCTATTATCATGATACTTAAGATACATTAAGATTGAGGAGAACCTGTGGTGAGGGAAGATTATTGATGGCTTCCCACTAAATTCCGAATAGTATTTCTTTCCCACACTGCCAAGCAAATATAATTTTGAAGTCAAAGTTGCATCTGAATGTGCCTCCCCACTAAACAATTATATATGACAGTAACTTATACATAACTCACCTGCAATATGATGCAATTCTCTTTTAGCCAATGAGATAGCGGAGATTACCTGTATCAATACCATGTCAAACCAATAGACGTTCTATCCGCAAAACTTGCACTGTTACGAAGCTTGTGTTGTGTGTGTATGATAATGCGTTGAAAGTCATTAAAAAGACTATTTTGATGAGGGAATTTAAAATAGAAATACTAAATGACAGGGTATATGTCGTGACTCGTGAGTAATATTATAATCAAGGGAATAATTAACAGGGTCAAGAAGAAAATAACATAGATTAAAACTTTAATTATGATACATAATTGTAGAAGGAACTCTTCCCTGGTTGTGCATCAAATTTTCTTATCATATAAATGTTAACCAACACATTATTACATCAAGTTAAAATCTGTTAAAAATCAGTTGTATCAGTCTTGCCCTTTATTTAATAAACCTCACTCATAATTTTTAATACATCTAATTTCAAAACTAGGTATTATTTCTGATATAGGCATTCTTCTGCATTTCTCATCGGTTCTTTCTAGCATTTTTGGTCAACTTTGATGGAGATGAGAAAAGGGAAACAAGAGGAAATAAAGGAAGGTTTTAAAATTTTGTTCACATAAAGGAAGGTTATAATTATAAACAATAGTATTCCCTGTTCGATTGCAAGGACATAATAAATCAGTAAGAGCATTAAGTGGAGCAAATTGCGTTGATCTCTGCAATTAAATGACTATCAAAATGTAACGGATGGATCATCATATATTTACAAAACATGCCCCTGAAGCTTAAAGTCTAAACAACACGATGATTGCAAAGTAACAACAGCAGCAGCCCCTTCAATATGTCTAAACAAAACATATTTTAAGTGTGTAATGCAATCACTACGTAAAGAAATATTAGTCAACTAAGCACCATGGCACTGGAGTAACAATAATATTACATCAACAGTTGAACTCTTGAAAATTCACATAGGTAACTGATCAAAGGCTCATAAGAACAAACTTGTGCAGATGAGAAAAACATATGTTAATAAGAACAGACAAAAAATGTTAATGTAGCCTGGAAATACTTGCAGCAATTATACGAGTCAAAATAAAATTATTTACGCCACATTATCTTGGTGATAATTTTAAATATGGTCATTGTGATGACTCGAGAATGTAAATTAGCCTATTGATAGGGATGTCTGGTAGGTTTTTGTTTTCACCGACACCTTGACATTTGACTTCAATATGATGTTTGGTAGTACTTTTGAAATGCTCCATTATAATCACCGGTTCTCTAAAAATTAATGGAAATAATCATAGCTGGTTTCTTTAACGTGTTTCTCCAAAATTGGATCCAATTTAACTAGTACTTACATCTAACCATGTCATTACCAACCCCTTTCCTTGACTTTGTTACCAATCCATATCGTAAGAAATATGAATTCACTTAATAGAGGACCACAATTTCATGATATAAAGCTTTGAACAAAAAGGATAACGTGCAGCATGTATAATTTAAATCGTTAGTCCAGACTGTCGAAGCATTTAACAAATAAATATTATCAACCATAACTGAAGGCTAACACTATATAAAGGGTTACGATGCATACATTGCAAAGCAAGCATAGTGCATAGGTCATCTAAACAACGACTGGTGCTGCACACTGACAGAAGATGGGAACTTCAGCGGGGCCGAGGCATTGGCCTCCACTCATCTATGCATTTGCTTTTTGCCTAATTGCTATCAATGTCGCCGGTGATGATGATAAACCTTACTATGCATTCCAGCCAACCGATCACCATCAACCGAAGCATGTCCCACCCCACCACCATCCTAAATTACCTCCAAAGCCTGTAATACACCCACCCCACCATCACAAATCACCTCCATTTCCATATCCATACAAATCTCCACCTCCACCTTATTTCTATAAGTCACCACCACCTCCATATATTTACAAGTCTCCTCCACCACCATCTCCATCTCCACCCCCTCCGTATGTCTACAAGTCTCCTCCACCTCCATCCCCCGCACCACCTCCACCATATGTCTATAAGTCTCCTCCACCTCCATCACCTTCACCACCTCCTCCATATGTTTACAAATCTCCTCCACCACCATCTCCATCTCCACCCCCTCCTTATATCTACAAGTCTCCTCCAACTCCATCCCCCTCACCTCCTCCACCATATGTCTATAAGTCTCCTCCACCTCCCTCACCTTCACCACCTCCTCCATATGTCTACAAATCTCCTCCACCACCATCTCCATCACCACCTCCTCCTTATATTTACAAATCTCCTCCACCACCATCCCCATCACCACCCCCTCCTTATGTTTACAAATCTCCTCCACCACCATCTCCCTCACCTCCTCCTCCTTATGTTTACAAGTCTCCTCCACCTCCATCTCCTTCACCACCTCCTCCATATGTCCACAAATCTCCTCCACCTCCCTCACCTTCACCACCACCTCCATATGTCTACAAATCTCCTCCACCACCATCTCCATCACCACCTCCTTATATTTACAAATCTCCTCCACCACCATCCCCCTCACCTCCTCCACCATATGTCTATAAGTCTCCTCCACCTCCATCACCTTCACCTCCTCCACCGTATGTTTACAAGTCTCCTCCACCTCTATCTCCTTCACCACCTCCTCCATATGTCTACAAATCTCCTCCACCACCATCTCCATCACCACCCCCTCCTTATGTCTATAAGTCGCCTCCACCTCCATCTCCCTCACCTCCTCCACCATATGTTTATAAGTCTCCCCCACCTCCATCTCCTTCACCAACTCCACCATATGTCTACAAATCTCCTCCACCACCATCTCCATCACCACCTCCTCCATACATCCACAAATCTCCTCCACCACCATCTCCATCACCACCTCCTCCTTATGTCTATAAGTCACCTCCACCTCCATCCCCTTCGCCTCCTCCGCCATATGTTTATAAGTCTCCCCCACCTCCATCTCCTTCACCACCTCCTCCATATGTCTACAAATCTCCTCCACCACCATCTCCATCACCCCCTCCTCCTTATGTCTACAAGTCTCCTCCACCTCCATCCCCTTCGCCACCTCCTCCATACGTCTACAAATCTCCTCCACCACCATCTCCATCACCACCTCCTCCTTATGTCTACAAGTCGCCTCCACCTCCATCCCCTTCCCCTCCTCCGCCATATGTTTATAAGTCTCCCCCACCTCCATCTCCTTCACCACCTCCTCCATATGTCTACAAATCTCCTCCACCACCATCTCCATCACCACCTCCTCCTTATGTCTACAAGTCTCCTCCACCTCCATCCCCTTCACCACCTCCTCCATACGTCTACAAATCTCCTCCACCACCATCTCCATCACCACCTCCTCCTTATGTCTATAAGTCACCTCCACCTCCATCCCCTTCGCCTCCCCCGCCATATGTTTATAAGTCTCCCCCACCTCCATCTCCTTCACCACCTCCTCCATATGTCTACAAATCTCCTCCACCACCATCTCCATCACCACCTCCTCCTTATGTCTACAAGTCTCCTCCACCTCCATCCCCTTCGCCACCTCCTCCATACGTCTACAAATCTCCTCCACCACCATCTCCATCACCACCTCCTCCTTATGTCTACAAGTCGCCTCCACCTCCACCTCCATCCCCTTCGCCTCCTCCGCCATATGTTTATAAGTCTCCCCCACCTCCATCTCTTTCACCACCTCCTCCATATGTCTACAAATCTCCTCCACCACCATCTCCATCACCCCCTCCTCCTTATGTCTATAAGTCTCCTCCCCCTCCATCTCCTTCACCACCTCCTCCTTATGTCTATAAGTCTCCTCCCCCTCCATCTCCTTCACCACCTCCTCCTTATGTCTATAAGTCTCCTCCCCCTCCATCTCCTTCACCACCTCCTCCTTATGTCTATAAGTCTCCTCCCCCTCCATCTCCTTCACCACCTCCTCCTTATGTCTATAAGTCTCCTCCCCCTCCATCTCCTTCACCACCTCCTCCTTATGTCTATAAGTCTCCTCCCCCTCCATCTCCTTCACCACCTCCTCCTTATGTCTATAAGTCTCCTCCCCCTCCATCTCCTTCACCACCTCCTCCTTATGTCTATAAGTCTCCTCCCCCTCCATCTCCTTCACCACCTCCTCCTTATGTCTATAAGTCTCCTCCCCCTCCATCTCCTTCACCACCTCCTCCTTATGTCTATAAGTCTCCTCCCCCTCCATCTCCTTCACCACCTCCTCCTTATGTCTATAAGTCTCCTCCCCCTCCATCTCCTTCACCACCTCCTCCTTATGTCTATAAGTCTCCTCCCCCTCCATCTCCTTCACCACCTCCTCCTTATGTCTATAAGTCTCCTCCCCCTCCATCTCCTTCACCACCTCCTCCTTATGTCTATAAGTCTCCTCCCCCTCCATCTCCTTCACCACCTCCTCCTTATGTCTATAAGTCTCCTCCCCCTCCATCTCCTTCACCACCTCCTCCTTATGTCTATAAGTCTCCTCCCCCTCCATCTCCTTCACCACCTCCTCCTTATGTCTATAAGTCTCCTCCCCCTCCATCTCCTTCACCACCTCCTCCTTATGTCTATAAGTCTCCTCCCCCTCCATCTCCTTCACCACCTCCTCCTTATGTCTATAAGTCTCCTCCCCCTCCATCTCCTTCACCACCTCCTCCTTATGTCTATAAGTCTCCTCCCCCTCCATCTCCTTCACCACCTCCTCCTTATGTCTATAAGTCTCCTCCCCCTCCATCTCCTTCACCACCTCCTCCTTATGTCTATAAGTCTCCTCCCCCTCCATCTCCTTCACCACCTCCTCCTTATGTCTATAAGTCTCCTCCCCCTCCATCTCCTTCACCACCTCCTCCTTATGTCTATAAGTCTCCTCCCCCTCCATCTCCTTCACCACCTCCTCCTTATGTCTATAAGTCTCCTCCCCCTCCATCTCCTTCACCACCTCCTCCTTATGTCTATAAGTCTCCTCCCCCTCCATCTCCTTCACCACCTCCTCCTTATGTCTATAAGTCTCCTCCCCCTCCATCTCCTTCACCACCTCCTCCTTATGTCTATAAGTCTCCTCCCCCTCCATCTCCTTCACCACCTCCTCCTTATGTCTATAAGTCTCCTCCCCCTCCATCTCCTTCACCACCTCCTCCTTATGTCTATAAGTCTCCTCCCCCTCCATCTCCTTCACCACCTCCTCCTTATGTCTATAAGTCTCCTCCCCCTCCATCTCCTTCACCACCTCCTCCTTATGTCTATAAGTCTCCTCCCCCTCCATCTCCTTCACCACCTCCTCCTTATGTCTATAAGTCTCCTCCCCCTCCATCTCCTTCACCACCTCCTCCTTATGTCTATAAGTCTCCTCCCCCTCCATCTCCTTCACCACCTCCTCCTTATGTCTATAAGTCTCCTCCCCCTCCATCTCCTTCACCACCTCCTCCTTATGTCTATAAGTCTCCTCCCCCTCCATCTCCTTCACCACCTCCTCCTTATGTCTATAAGTCTCCTCCCCCTCCATCTCCTTCACCACCTCCTCCTTATGTCTATAAGTCTCCTCCCCCTCCATCTCCTTCACCACCTCCTCCTTATGTCTATAAGTCTCCTCCCCCTCCATCTCCTTCACCACCTCCTCCTTATGTCTATAAGTCTCCTCCCCCTCCATCTCCTTCACCACCTCCTCCTTATGTCTATAAGTCTCCTCCCCCTCCATCTCCTTCACCACCTCCTCCTTATGTCTATAAGTCTCCTCCCCCTCCATCTCCTTCACCACCTCCTCCTTATGTCTATAAGTCTCCTCCCCCTCCATCTCCTTCACCACCTCCTCCTTATGTCTATAAGTCTCCTCCCCCTCCATCTCCTTCACCACCTCCTCCTTATGTCTATAAGTCTCCTCCCCCTCCATCTCCTTCACCACCTCCTCCTTATGTCTATAAGTCTCCTCCCCCTCCATCTCCTTCACCACCTCCTCCTTATGTCTATAAGTCTCCTCCCCCTCCATCTCCTTCACCACCTCCTCCTTATGTCTATAAGTCTCCTCCCCCTCCATCTCCTTCACCACCTCCTCCTTATGTCTATAAGTCTCCTCCCCCTCCATCTCCTTCACCACCTCCTCCTTATGTCTATAAGTCTCCTCCCCCTCCATCTCCTTCACCACCTCCTCCTTATGTCTATAAGTCTCCTCCCCCTCCATCTCCTTCACCACCTCCTCCTTATGTCTATAAGTCTCCTCCCCCTCCATCTCCTTCACCACCTCCTCCTTATGTCTATAAGTCTCCTCCCCCTCCATCTCCTTCACCACCTCCTCCTTATGTCTATAAGTCTCCTCCCCCTCCATCTCCTTCACCACCTCCTCCTTATGTCTATAAGTCTCCTCCCCCTCCATCTCCTTCACCACCTCCTCCTTATGTCTATAAGTCTCCTCCCCCTCCATCTCCTTCACCACCTCCTCCTTATGTCTATAAGTCTCCTCCCCCTCCATCTCCTTCACCACCTCCTCCTTATGTCTATAAGTCTCCTCCCCCTCCATCTCCTTCACCACCTCCTCCTTATGTCTATAAGTCTCCTCCCCCTCCATCTCCTTCACCACCTCCTCCTTATGTCTATAAGTCTCCTCCCCCTCCATCTCCTTCACCACCTCCTCCTTATGTCTATAAGTCTCCTCCCCCTCCATCTCCTTCACCACCTCCTCCTTATGTCTATAAGTCTCCTCCCCCTCCATCTCCTTCACCACCTCCTCCTTATGTCTATAAGTCTCCTCCCCCTCCATCTCCTTCACCACCTCCTCCTTATGTCTATAAGTCTCCTCCCCCTCCATCTCCTTCACCACCTCCTCCTTATGTCTATAAGTCTCCTCCCCCTCCATCTCCTTCACCACCTCCTCCTTATGTCTATAAGTCTCCTCCCCCTCCATCTCCTTCACCACCTCCTCCTTATGTCTATAAGTCTCCTCCCCCTCCATCTCCTTCACCACCTCCTCCTTATGTCTATAAGTCTCCTCCCCCTCCATCTCCTTCACCACCTCCTCCTTATGTCTATAAGTCTCCTCCCCCTCCATCTCCTTCACCACCTCCTCCTTATGTCTATAAGTCTCCTCCCCCTCCATCTCCTTCACCACCTCCTCCTTATGTCTATAAGTCTCCTCCCCCTCCATCTCCTTCACCACCTCCTCCTTATGTCTATAAGTCTCCTCCCCCTCCATCTCCTTCACCACCTCCTCCTTATGTCTATAAGTCTCCTCCCCCTCCATCTCCTTCACCACCTCCTCCTTATGTCTATAAGTCTCCTCCCCCTCCATCTCCTTCACCACCTCCTCCTTATGTCTATAAGTCTCCTCCCCCTCCATCTCCTTCACCACCTCCTCCTTATGTCTATAAGTCTCCTCCCCCTCCATCTCCTTCACCACCTCCTCCTTATGTCTATAAGTCTCCTCCCCCTCCATCTCCTTCACCACCTCCTCCTTATGTCTATAAGTCTCCTCCCCCTCCATCTCCTTCACCACCTCCTCCTTATGTCTATAAGTCTCCTCCCCCTCCATCTCCTTCACCACCTCCTCCTTATGTCTATAAGTCTCCTCCCCCTCCATCTCCTTCACCACCTCCTCCTTATGTCTATAAGTCTCCTCCACCTCCATCTCCTTCACCACCTCCTCCATATGTGTACAAGTCTCCACCCCCACCTCCTCATGGCAGCAAGTTTCCACATCTTTCTCCCTTCCTCTATAGCCCACCACCGCCTCCTGCAAAAGGCTATTAATCTAACTAAACCAACTTAAATTGTTTCAATAAATTTATGCCATGAATTATTGCAGTTTAATATTAAGACTTCGTTAATAATGTAGGGTCTACACTGAAGAGTCTTGTTATGAATACTGTGTCATGTATTACTGCTGATTCAAAAGTTTGTTGTTTCATTAAAGTATTATATTATTGTAATTGGTTCTGAAGTTTCCATTGCTGCATTTCCTTCTTCTTGATACGTTTTTGATGTAATTCGTGCCCTACTCCTTGATATAAAAAAAATTTATTTGATACCATAAAAGGAACCTCGTACAAGCGGAATCTTTGAGAAGGACTGGCTTCTTAAAAGAGAAAATAGTACTAATAAAAAGAGATAAGCTATCTCCCTTGACTTCCATATTTGTTTAAATAATGCACCGGTGATACTCATAAAGAGACACGAGGCCGATACGAGTACACAAATTTTGAGATGTCTCTTTCGCAGCATCTTGGAAGCATTAATTAATTAATTAATAATTACCCAAAAAAGATCAACATGATGAACATCTAAATGAAAGGAAGACTGCCCTTTGAATTTACGACCTACGGAAAATAACTCGACTGAAATTCGTCCTAAGTTATGACATAACTTTCATCATTCACACACTACTTAGATAATAGTCAATGATGCAATTATGTTTTGAGTACAAAATGGGCAAAAGTTTGAATGAGATGAAGCATTTCAAAATGGACTCATTCTTTATTCTTACAAGGGAATGTAAGAATATCCTATTTCAGCGTACACTCTATTTGGAAAGGAAGAAAATGAAGGGTAGGTATTTGGAAGATAATTAAAGCCCCTAATCCCTTCAATAGGGCAATTAATTAATTAAATAATTGATATAAAGATAAAAGCAAAGTGTGATAGATAGTTAAACATTGTGAATTGTCATAGTACAAGTGCCACAAATAGGGGAATTAAAAACTTACGAAGTTTCAGAATCCATCAAATTTAGTGGCTGTGACTTTGGTCGCACTCAGTCACAGAAGTTGCCCTTCGATTCTTCAAAACAATTGTTGGTGCAAATCATGTGTATATCTGAAGGGATACACAGATAATAAATACTTACCAGACTTACTACTTTTGCCACTATCATAATGAATCCAGACGGTTTAAAATTTAAATAAAATTAAAAAAAAAGTGAAGACAGAGAAAATACGAGTTCGGGGAATTGCATTTGCGGAGAAGAGAGAAGAGGAAGCCCCAACTTGCGGTGCTGCGAGCTAGTTTCTTCTATAGAACTTCACTTATTTATATATATATA